GGCCTCCCAGAGAGCTAGGATTACAGGCGTGAGCCACTGCGCCCGGCCAGACCTTACATATTTTGTTACTAGGTACAATGGAGTTTTCTTGACCAGGGATTTATTGAGATAAATAAGACAGTTACAGAATATTATATGGTAAAATATGTATTAATACTTAGTTCCACACTAGTAACATTTTAATAACAAAAATTATTTTTAATGATTAATCCAGGTTCCATTATAACACAGTTAAATAGAAAACAAATTAGACTTGTGATCCCAAGTTCTCAATTCCATTCCTAGGTTCAATGTGAACTTTTGCAGTAAATACTAGCGTTACCTAGAGTAAGTAAGTTTACTCAATCTATAAAAATGTACCTTAGCCACTTTATATTAATGCCTTTCACTACCTTCAAAAAATGAAGATACAGAAAAGTAAAAATGTTTTGTAATTTTTTTTTTGCCTTTACAATATCTTAGAAACCCTAAGAAAAGCATCTATTTAGGAAGGAAACAACATGAGAAGCCTTAGCTATGTTACTTTCTTCCATATATTTTATGACTCTGAATATAACAAAGGGTAATACATAGTACCTTAAGCAATATTTACATAAATTTATAAACATATAACCAATCCTATATGTAAATCAGCCCACTTCTGTGTATATATTTAATAACATACATACTAATAGAACAGTTTATTCGTACACGTTTTCCTTAAGTACTCAAAATGAGTCTTCTAGGTTCACCAGAATCTTTTAAAGAATACTTACCTTGGTGATACACTTGGCTATCTGAAGTCTGTCTTTTAGGACTTTTTCCCCTAATACTCGTAGGGGGAGAAGAATCGACCAGCGATGATCGGCCAGAGGACTGCGGTGTAGTTCCAAAATCAGAAGAATAGTAAGAATAATGCTGTTTGCCTGCCTTTCTTTCTTGATCAGTACCTGGACTTCTTGCTTTTTCCCCCATTGTTTTGAAAAATGGTCTCTTTTCACATAATTTCACAGATTCTTTTCTCCAGAAGAGTCTATGACAACACTGAAGAACAATTTCATAAGATCCTGGTAAGAATATTCATTACTGTGCAATTTGTTTTCTCCACAACATATCCGTAGACCACAATTCACATTAGCAGCCCAAAGGTAACACTTTTTTACCCTATAATTAAGGAAAGGAAGGGAAACTCATCATATAGTCACGAAATAGATTTCTACCATTAATTACCATGAAAGATACAAAAAGCAAAATAATATACAATTTACGATTTTAAAGAGGCTATAATTTATCAATATTTTCAGACGTAAGTTATTTACAGTATTTAAAGACATACTCTCTCATAACCTAGACAACATGTAAAGTACCTGAAATATAATTGCTTCTGAATAAATGTTAAATAAATGTGATTCCCTTGCATCTTAAGAGTTATAATAAACACAAATGCTGAATTTTAACAGGACAATATGATCAAATTGCCAGTTTTTTCTTTATTTTTTGGGGGGGTAAGAGGTGGTGGTGGTGATAAAGAACAAACCTGCTAATAAGAACAAAGAAAATCATCTAAGATTGACCACATAAAAATGTAAAACTAAAGTATATTTAAAAAACAACTAAATTAAATATTTGATGAAAAACATTTGCAAACATGACAGAAAAATGGTTATCATCCTTAACACGTAAATAAATACTTTATATCATCCATAAGAAAAATATGAGGTCACAAGTTAAATGGGAAAAATACATGATGAGACCCAAAACAGGCAACGCAAATGATAGACACATAAAAATATTCAACCTCAGATACCATTTTTAAAGTGTCAAATTATCCAAGATTTTTTAAAACAGTAACACTCAATGCTGCCAGAGTTGCTATCAGGAAAAGATCCACAGTTTTTAGATAAAAAGTTGGCAAAATGTATTAAGACTTTAATTATGCTTTTAATCTTTGATCCAATAATTCCATTCCTGGATTCCA